ACGCGATATCTTCCGGGCGCCAGACCCTCACTACAACACTTTGGAGAAGGTTTCGCTATCCAGTCTCCTGATCAAGAAGGTTTTTGGAGGACTTAACTATGAGTAGAGTTGCTGCTGAACGTCCACTTCCAACAAGCAAGCAGTGAGGTGCATCTCAGCCTTTGCTCACTGCAAGGTACCAGCCATTCAGTCTGTGCTTTGCGGTGATTTTCCATCAGCACTTCTGCTTGTATGTGAGCTATGTTGGGGATATAGGGAGATATGGGACAGAGGGAGCTGTGGTGGGGATATAGGGGACTGTGAGAGGCTATGGAGGGGCTATAGAGCTGATCTTGGGCTGTGTGGGGCCATGAGGTGATAGGGGGCTATAGGGTGGGCCATAAGGGGATGTTGGGCTAGAAGGCTCCCCTGCCCCCCTCCCCCCCTTCCCCTTGGCTTTAACCTATCCATAATAGAGTGGCTGAAATGCCAGTCATGAAACTTAAATCAGAATTGAAGTTGTATTGGAATAGAGTAGGATTGTTTTGTGGTCTTAAATCTGAAACGTGTTTTCTCCTTGGGCTTCAGGTACAGAAATTGTTTAATAATGACTTTGGAGAAGGTTTCCCTATCCAGTCTCCTGATCAGGAAGAAAGAAGAAGGTTTTTGGAGGACTTAATCACGAGAGGAGCTGCTGTTGATCCTCCACTTCCAAGAAGCAAGCAGGTGAGGACATTGTGCATCTCAGCCTTTGCTCACTGCAAGGTGCCAGCCACTCCATCTGTGCTTTGCGGTGATTTTCCACCAGCACTTGTGCTTGTATGTGAGCACCAGGCATCCGCTAACGCTGTCTGATAGCTTTAGGCTGGGCAGACACGGGAAGCACTGCCTGCAGCAGCAGCAGCTGAGCTCCGTGTGCCAGAGGAAGGAATGCGGCGTCTGGAGGAGCAGGAGGAGGAGACCCCGCGTGACTCTGCGTGTTCTGCAGGGCCGTTCCTCACAGACTGCCACTGACAGACGTTTGGGGCACTGCAGAGCCTGTTGGTGCGGATGAGGTAAAGCAGTGTTGATCTGTAATGCCATTTGATCTGCGTGCATGCAGGATTTCCCTGTGTTTGTATGTCTCAGTGTCTGTGGCCCTGGTTTTGTTCAGAGATGTCAGACCTCTGTGTTCCCCCTCCAGCTGGTTCTGAAGAGCCCTTCCATTTTTGAGAAGGCTGCGGGTTTAGTTCAGCATCTCCTGATGTGTCACACAGATTCAGGGCTTTCAAGAAGTCGCTTCTTTGAAGTGTTTAAGATGGTGAATTCTGCCAGACAGAGTGCTTGTCTAATCAAACGTTTTAACCCCAAGGTTTGTTCTGCAGGTCCTGATGATGGCATAGGCATTAAACAGCATGGAGCTCGTCGCTGGGGAGAGGCTGTGCATTGTGTTTTGAAGGGAGAGATAGAGGAAGGGTTTGAACAGCGTTGTGCAGGAATGGAAAGCTGGTAAGAGAAGAGGTGTGCGTTCAGAGAGCGAGGGCTGTATGGCTCATCTCTGTGTTCCAGCAGGAAATGCAAGGCAGAACTCTCTGCTCTCTGTTCTTTCTTGCAAGGTTGCTGCCCCTCAAAGTGCACTGTGGATGGGCAGCACGATGACAGCCCAAGGATGGCAGCAGAAGATGCAGCACAGCCCTCTCCAGCAGCAAGGTGCACTGATTTGTCTAGCTAATTCTTGAAGTAGAAGGTGCGTTTAGCTTCCAAAGTCAGTGGCTTGATAGCCTTAGGATGGCTTTGGGGTCTTCCTCTGTAACTCACATCCTAAGGCAGTGAAGGTGTTCCCTTGGTCTGTACAAGTGGTTCCTGTACAAAGCCATGGTTGTCTGCCTGTAACAGATAGTGAAGGTGATGGTTTTGTGACTGCAATCATGGAGTCGGCATTTTAATGGCAGTTGCACCCCACTAACATGCAGCTTGTTCTGACACAGGCAGGACACGGGCAGCAGGACTGCAGCTCCTCTGGCAGCTTTGCAGCTACATCAGGAAGCAGAAGACGTGGATTTAACAGAAGAACTCAGTTACTGGGATGTTCCCCTGTTCTTCCCCTACCTGTCCCCTTGCCTCAGCCCGGATTCCTCTTGCATTCTCGTAGGTGTCCCTTCCATCCCCCAGGGTGCTCCTTGCTTCCCCCAAGCTAACCCTTTACCTTCGCATAACAGCCCACCCACAATTTCCTCAGAGCCCCAATAGCTCCCTCAGTATTTCCCCAGCAAGACCCTGTAGGCACCCCACAACCCCCCAGAGAGCCCAGAGCCCTTTACTGACCTCCTCAGACCTGGTACTCCTCCCTCATTGCTGGCCAAAAACCTCACAAACCTCCATAGTCCCCAGCAGCACCCCATATCGCCCACTGGACTACCACTGAACCCCCTTATTTCCTCCCTCAGACCTCCCTTAACACCTCCAGGGCTCCTTACCAAACTCACAGAAAACCACACTCCCTGACAGCACCCCTGTCACCAATACCAGGCCCCTCCTCTCCCCCTGCTCCTGCAGGCTCTGTTGTCATATCCATCCCATGGCCGTATATCCCCCACACCCCGCCACAGAGCCCCATAACTCCTCCAGGAGCTCCTCAGACTTGGTGCACCTCCCCCACAGCCAGCCTGGGACCTCACAGAGCCCCATAGTCCCCAGCAGCACCCCTTATCCCTGCTCTGGGCTCCCCTAGATCCCCCCTATTTCCTCCTTTGGACCTCCCTAACCCCCCTTGGGTCATCCCTTGGATCTCGCAGGCCCCCACAGTCCCTGGCAGGACCCCCGTCACAAGTCCAGGACCCCAGTAGCCCACCTGGTGCTGCTGAACCCAGCATCCTCAGTGAGCTGTGCCACAGTGCGGCACACTGAGCCCTTCTGCATTGCTGCAGAACGGAACACATGCAGATCCCAGGTCAGTGGACACTGCTCTGCAGGTCACTGCCTGGCCCAGGAACTCCTCCCCTGTGCTGTCTGTGAAAGTCTTTTCTTTGCTCCTGGCACATCTTCCATCTCCAGAGCACATGAGATCCGAAACACTCTGCAAGTTATACCAGTTCTGTC